GACAGTGTTCTTGTGAGGTATGAACAGTACAGATTTACATTTATTTTATTTAGCAGGTCATTTTGTCTAAAGTGATGTACAAGTGAGGCAAATACCACATTATTAACATACGTGCTGTCAGGTAGCTGACTAGGCATAAGTGAAACTAGGCTGAGCTTCCAATGAATGGCCAGGTACAAGTGTAAGCATTACTGGAACAATAGCTACACAACATCTTCCAAACAAGGCAAGAGCCTAATGAGGCAACTATTCAATGAGCAGAAAGTGCAACATTAATAACATTCAGGGAACATTAAGTTGTATCAGGTTATATAGGTGTCCTGGAATGTATGGGTTTTGAGGTGTTTCTTGAAAGTATAATGGTCTCAGTCTACAGTCATTATTGCCAGTAACCCAATTTTCCTCTGAGCCAAAATAGCATACTTTCATTCTGCCGCGCCCCCTAACAATATCCTGTGAATCCTTGTACTGTACGATCCCCACATCCTGTTCTTCTGCTGGATTTCCTACCAAAGTGATCCTCACCTGGTGGACATACACACGTGCTGATCTTTGTTTGGGTGCTAGTGTCCAAAGTGGGATTGGAACACGTTGGTGAAAAGGGGTTGCCAAACTCCTGAAACTGTTGGTTACCAGGGCAGGTTGGTGGTGCTGGTTTGGTAAGAAAAGAAGATATTCAAAGGCATATTGAATACCCACGGGGAGAACACTGAGCCCTTAACAGCATCTGAAGTCTTATCATGTATATTAGAGGAAATGTGGTAATACAGCAAAAAAGCTACAGTACTTACGGCAGCCTGTCTGTGTCCTCCAGTCCTTGACTCTGTCATACTTGCTCTGGTCACAGCTTTGCACATTTTCGTGATAATATGAACAGGTAACATTCTTTTCGTTTTTTTTGCTTATATCCACAATATTCATTAGGCAAAGTTCTATCAAAGAACTGCCTACGGGAAGATCTCGACAGGTAACAACATCGGATGTATAATCACAATCCTGGAAAAAGAGAGAGTCATCAGTCCAAGAAAAGATAAAGTAAAATCTTTTGGCATGTAGATTGTTTGGGAACACAAACCGTTGTTTCGGCAGGTGTGATAGTTGTTGTCAAACAAGAACTATCAGAAATGATATTCTTCCTGTCGTTATTCACTGCAGTGAAATAGACAGACATATAGTATGATGGTAGAGAAGCTTATCATCAGTAAAACACGTCATGACTCATATTTATGTTGGTAAAATGAACCCACCACAAAATCCTGAAGTTACAGACACTTGTTTGTCATCCAGCTCCACCTAAAAAATTGTTCATCATTCACAACAATGACGAAAAAAAATCCATGTACCTGCAAAGTTCTTGGATAAAGCTGATTTCTGATTCTTTATTTATTGTGTAATACATAAAACAACATTCAGAACTGACGAATGGGCTCTTACCCGAAAGGTGGTGATCTTACTGTTCTCATTGTACCATATGATGGATGTAGATGCAGGGAGGATTCTGCTTGTTAGTTTGGTGTAGATGCCGTATTGGAAGATATGCAGGTACATGTCATCATATGGAAGGGTGACACTAGGGAAAGCAGGCAGCAGTGAGCTTTGTGCTACACGTCAGGTCCATGATCACACTCACGTTCAGGCTACACGTCAGGTCTGTGATCACATTCATGTTCAAGCTATATGTTGGGTCTGTGATCACACTCATTTCTGCTATAATGGCTTATGTATGTAAACATTAATAAAAAATAATGGATAGTCGGATGTTACTACGTTTTTTTTGTATCATTCCCAGATTACCTAATGCTAGGTAAATTTAGGAATAGATTTTGTGGTAATCTTAATCAGTCATTAAAAGTATCTCCTAATTGCCTTTTCAGGAATATTCATAGTACGATCACAGCTTGATGGTATTGAAGAGCATTGGTGAACATGTTTCTTTCTGAGGTTGCTCTTTAAAAGCTGGAACTAGCAGCAGATTGCAGATTTCCCCAATTTGGTACATTGCCAGGACATTGTCCAATGCAAATGTGCTTCAATTTAGCCTCAGTATTGTTTGTTTACCGTCCACACACAGTTCCTATACCATCCACTTTGGTTTTCTGTGCAGGCAGAGTCTGCCTGTACTACACCTTGACAGCAAACCACACCTGATGTTCAGATAAGTATGTACAGAGAGAGATGTTGAGTAGAGTTAGGAGTCTTACTTGTTGCCCTCTACAAGGAAAATGCCATTTTCAAGGACCGTCTTCATTTTGTTAATGTCAATCATGGCCTTGACAATCAGACCATCATCTCGGGTCAAAGTGATACGGCAATCCACCTTTCCGTAGGTGAAGCTGATGAATTCAGTAGCACAGCTGGTTCTCACATAAAACGAGTCGTCATATAAGGGCTGGATGATACCACTTCCGTAGGTCTCACACACCACTGAGTAGGGAGAACAAACCAAGCTCAGTAAGGACTAACAAGCATGACCTTTAAGAGTAATTAATACATTCCTCAAGACGAGTTTAAAGACATTCTTTATGTCTATGTAACTGATTGCTGATTTATGGTAATGCTATGACAATTTATTTTTGAGTAGGTCATAACAAACTGCATTTACTTACATGGTCCTGCTGCTGTAATCGCAATCTGGCCTAAAAATATAAAAACAGATGCATAATATATCATATACACCCTGACCCTGCTGATAAGCAATGATTGTTGGAATGTACAAGATGAATCAATGGAGATACAGTGGTACCTCAGAACTCGAAATTAATCCGTTGAGAACTCCGGACCGAATCCTAAAAAGTTCGAGTTCTGATCAAATTTGCCCCATAAGAAATAATGGAAAACCAATTAATTGGTTCCCGGCCCCAAAAAATTACACCGAAACGTTTTTTTTAGTATTTAAACGCAAAATGAACCGGACAAAACAAGAAAAGCAAATACTGTACTAAACACATCTAAGCACATTTATCAAAACAGTAATTTTTAAAGTAAGAAAATAAATGTATCTAAACAATGTGTAAAGTTAAAAAAAAAACAATGTGTCATCCCCCGATCGTCCGCTCCTTCCGTGTGCCACGCCCCCTTTTTAACTTGGAATCCCCGTGTGATCAGCTGTTTCTGGTTGTTGTCATTAGTCCTCTGTATTTCCTCCGCGTTTCAGTTTATTTCCCCAGTCCGGTCATTGTATTGTCCATCTGCGTTTTGCCTGCCTTACCTGTAATTAAACCCTGTATTCCCCGATACCCTGACGTCTGCGCCTTTGTCTCTGTTCGGTCCCCCTCGGCATGGCAATATTATTATAATTAATTCTGTTAATGGCTTATTATTAATATTAAAATAATTAATAAGAAATCTTTATTTGAAAATGTATCTTATTATATAATAATAATTACTGTTACTGTCTATCATTGTCTAAATGGTTAGTTCGACTTTTAAGAAATTCGAGTTCTAATGAGTTCGAGAACTGATGTACCACTGTATTTCAAAACATTTCAAAGTACAGCTTTCAATTAATAATGTACAGATTTCCATTGTCTACTAAAAGAAAGAAAAAAAATGTAACCACTTCCATTGTAATTAGTAAGCAGTATCGTACCGGACAATAGCGAGAAGACAGTCAGGAGCTTCATCCACACAAGGGTCTCCATGCTGCCAGCTTTGCAAGCCTGTCTGAGATGCTGTGACCTTCCCTCTAACAGGTATTTATACTGACTGGGTTCACACCCTTCTTTGAATAATCCATCCCCTGATGAGGATGTAACCTCCTTTACCTACACAGGCTGCTTCTTATTCTGTGTATAACGTGTTTTTCAGCTCTAATTAAAATAATTAACTTGCACTAGCTTTACACAACCAGACTTGCTAAGCACTGGCAAGTCAACATTTTTACCAAAAAGCTACATTGTAATAAGTGTGTAAATTGTGTCAAAACGACGAGGATGACAAACAGCTTGTTTCAGTCTTGACACATAATTAACTGTAATCTCATACACTTTCTGGTTATATTCTTTATTTATTTTACGTAACAGTCAGAAAAGATGTTAAAATGCCTGATGCAGGTTAATCTTAACAGAAATTTTCCTACCTTTTCAGAATCTCACTTGCTTCTCATCATTTTTTCACAAGCGATTAATGTGTACACGTCAAACAGGATGCCGACATCCTGGACCCTAAAACACCAACCTAACACAGACCTTGCGTGGAAGCTGCCTGCTTCTTCAAAACTATCTAAATACACACTAATAATGAAAGGGAAAGTGTTGTGCATACAGTAAAAACAGTGAAGTATGGCAAAGAGAGACTTTTACACATTATTATAATGTGTTAAGCATCACTTTATTACAATATGAGGAAAGTCTGACCTTCAGGGCCAATACACGCTAGTGGAGTGACAATTTCAGAATTATTATTGCGGGATCATTAGGATGTTTAAAGATAACCAACGTGCGGGCATAATGTCCCAACTGTGGTGTCCTGTTACTTCTCTGGTGATTAACATATTTCAATTAAGTGTTTTAAGGCTCATTTCTTTTCCTGTTAATAAGTTTGCAAAATAAAAATAAACATTTTATCAATTGGCTATGGGCATGACTGATGTACCATATCTCAAATTTGAGAAAGTGGAAAACACTGTTAAAACATAATCTGCTTTTACAGATTACAAGTTAGAGATCTACTTTTTCTAATGTTCTGAAAACTAAAAAAGATAACTTAATTCAAGAAGGAAAAGCCACTAATTTCCATCCATTTTCAGTAACTGTTTGTCCTATTCAGGGTTGTGGGGGGTCTGCAGCCTACCCTGGAGGATACAGTGCAAGGCAGAGAGCAACCCAGGATGGACCACCAACCAATCACAGGGCACCCTCACACACAAATTAATCTCAGTATGTTTTTCAACTCTGAAGGGAAACTGGAGTACCCAGAGAAAACCCCACGACAACACAGATAGAACAGGCAAATTCCCCACACATGGAGCCATGGCGGACACTCAAACCCTGGTCCCAGTGGTGTGAGGCATCAGTGCTAACCACTTCACCACCATGCCAGCCCCCAGTCATTTCCAGCAAATGTGAAAGAGGGACTGTTTTTTAAATACAGTTTTTATTTGTCGCATTCACTATACGTCTGTGTAGTGAAATGCTTTTCCACCTACTTTCAGGATTATGTTAGAAAGGAAATATGTAATACAAAGTAAAACAAACCTGTCTAGAAATAAGAATAAATATACATGAGTGATGTGTTAGCTACAGGACTCCCTTTTCAGTATACGGAAGGCGGCGTTTTAGCTGGTGGGCACTGGCATGGCAGGTCCCCCCAGCCGCCAACCCTTCCCCTTATGCGGCATATCAGGGACCTGTTGCCCCCCGCCATGTGGATAAGAAGGCCTCGTTCCACTGCTCCAGGTCCTGCTGGCACAGGCCTCTCTGCTCCTCTGGCTCATCGCGCCGCATCTACAGGCTGTGCTGCTCCCCCTCGCACTTCAGCAGCGTGACTTCCATCACCTTGATCTCCTGCTCCCAGCCAGTCGTGCTCATGCTACTGTTCCTCCAGCTCGCAACGCCTGTAAGCCAGCTGGGCCTCCAAGCCGTAATACACCTCCTTCCAGCGCTTCTGGTGGCCGCGCTCCTGCTCCCAGCTGGCCAGCTCACCACACAGCTGCTCCAGCTCCTGCTGCTTCTGCTCCGCGGACTCACACAGCCCCTCCTAGTCCTGCTGCTCCTTCTTCCGCTCCTCATTGTTGCTTCTGGTGTGAACAATAGTACTCAATTAAATTAAATATTTTTTCCATGAAGAAGCCATGTTCACGATTCCTATTGTCAGATGTTTTTTTCTACATTGAAATAAAATAAAATACCAAATTCAGTTGACCTTGACTGTTATGTTTCATTTTCAGTGTCAATTTCTTTGACAAACAATGGCCTTTGACTGTACAAGTAACATGGTCAGGTGGTGTAACTGGTTTGTGTGAATTGGCATAAGCAGTATTTTTCATCAAAAAAGATAATACAAAGGAAAATTAATGTGAAATAAAATGCATCCTTTTTAAAATTATTTTATTTTTATTGATTTCAAACAGGTTTTTTTATCCAAAAAAGTCATAAAAGATATATGTACATATACAACAAAAATCATCCTAATATATCTACTGTATGTAAATGTAAATACATGTGGGTATGTGTGGGTGTGTGTGTGTGTATATATATATATTCATATACAAATACACAAAAAAAACACAAAACCCACCTGAACCATACATGCTGCAAATCATGTACAAATATATGAGAGAAGTAAAAAGAAAAGTAAACAAACAGCATAACCTGTACAAATGAATAGCAGTTAAAGAAAAATTAATGAAGGAATATACACAGAAGTCAGAAAAATCGAGGTCTTTGGAGAAAATAATATAAAAGAGCCCAGAGCTGCTCCTGCTGCTGAATTCATCTGACTTATGAAGCAAATAAGCGAGTGAAGACTCCATATCTGTGATGAGCACATGCCAGTGTTGGGGAGATGAGGAGTAGGAGTAGACCATAAAAGCAGAATGCACTTCTTAGCCAAAAATCAGAGGAAAGTAAGCATGGATCTAACACTCATATCAGGAAGTTCCGCAAGTAAAAGGAAGGTGACATTACAAATCGTTTCCCAATAACGTCTTGAATTGCAATAGGAACCTCCTTCCAGAACCTCTGGATATGTTTACACAACCAAAACAATTGGAAAAAAGATCTTGTATGTGAACTGCATTTGTAACACTAATTCAAGGTAGATGGGAACATTTTCTCAAGGTGGACTGGGGTATCATTAATCCTCTGAAAAATTACAATGTTGCTTATGTATAGCAATAGACGTACATCGAGGAAAAAATCTGCTACAATACTCATTCAATTCTTCAGGAGAAAATGATATCCTAAGGTCATGTTCCCACACCGGTTTACGAGAATCATAAGCAGATGAGTCTGAATACAGAAGTACTGTAAGGTACAATCTTTCCCTTAAGAGATCTGGCAGAAAGCAGAAGATTCTCAACCTCTGAGAGTTTTAGGCAGAACCCATTTTTCTGCAACTAAGAGTGAATAAAGTGTCACATTTGTTTTTAAAAGATCTTTGAATTGCTCCTCTTGCCAACCCTAATTTGTTACTTACCCAAATACCACAGGGTTATTATAGGAATACTACTGAACGCCCATGTACAATACCACAGGAATACCACAAAGCCACCACAGAAATACTACAGAAACCCACTGTAATATACTACAGGAATTTCCATTACAGTTACCACATAAACTGAACTATTCAAAATACATTTGCTTTTCAAAAAGATTTATGTTACTAAAGAGACTAGTTTCTCTTTAATGTACATCATTTTTGTTTGAAAGAACAAGTTGGCGGCGCAGTGGAGCAGTGATTAGCACTACTGTCTCCCAGCAAGAAGGTCCTGAGTTTGGTCCTGGGTCCTTTCTGTGTGGAGTTCTCGCTCTCCCTGCGTTCGTATGGCATTTTGCCGGGGGCTGCGGTGTCCTCCCACAATTCAAAAGCGTGCAGGGTAGGCTGATCGGTGTGTCTATGGCCCTGTAGTTGTGAGTGTGTGTGCCCTGTGGTGTGTT